CTTCGCTTCAGGCGGGGCTCTTTTTTCTAGGAATCCTGCCGTTTAAACCAGTGCTACGAGAATCTCGTTTCTCAGAAAAGTCCCTTCTAGCAGTGACTGTAGCCATGTGTGATAACATCTTTAGTGTAATGCGGTTAGCGCATCGTCGAGAGAGTGTGTTGAGCTCCGGGAACGACGGAACCGAGAATTCGGGACCTGTAGTTTAGTTTATCGTCGAATGCATCGCGAGTTGTAGCGTGGAGAGTCTCGAGAGTACCTGAAGTCCGAGAACGACCGAGGAGAGTCAGGGGAGCTGAGCTATACTCTGGTGCTAAGCAGTGAAGCTGTCTTAGCCTGATAGCTGTCGCGAGTTGTAGCTGTTACAGTCTGATTGTCTGAAGGCTGTATCGCTGATTGTTACAGCGTGTTTATAGTAGTTCTTCGACGACTGAAAAAAAAACATAATTTTGGAGCTGTTCTGAGAGTACTGGCCAATAAAGTGTGTTTTGATACTTCATCAAGTGTCGTCGTTATTCACTCCAAATCTGCGAGCCCCGTACAACGTGAAGGAAGAAGATAACCTAACAACTGGTGTCAGAAGTGAGATTTGAGGGTGAATGCCAGTGACAGCAGCAATGGAAAAATATTAAGACAGCTCGTGACTGCCTTTGCTGAATTCCAAGAAAAGATGGAAGCCGGACAGGAGGAGTTGAAAGCCGGATGTGTTGAGATAAAGGCTGGGTATGCTGAGATAAAAGCCGGGTATGATGAGATAAAAGCTGGATGAGGGCTGAGATGAAAGCCAGACCGGAAGAGATGAAGACTGGACGAGAAGAGATGAAAGCCGGCTGAAAAAAGGTGCTAGAGCAACTTCAGAGGATGAAAGTTGATCTTGCAGAAGAAACTGAAGCCAGAACAGAAGATGTGAAAATGACAGTAGTGGCATATGGAGAATCTCAGGATGAAGAAATGAAGGGAGTAGCTGACGAATTGCCTGAGAAAGATCAGGAAATGATGGATGAAACATTTAACGGGATTAAAGGAAAAGAACAAGAGACTTCATCAACTTGTTTTGACTTGTTTCATCAACTTGTTTCATACTTGTTTTGATACTTCATCAAGTATCGTCGTTATTCACTCCAAACCTACAAACCCCGTTCGAACGTGAAGGAAGAAAATAACGTAACAATATTTTATTTATGAACTATGGTATATTTCAATGAAACATAGCAATATTTATAAAGGAATATTATGATGCTTTATTTTTCTTACTTCAGTATAAAATTTAAATTCACTGTAACTGATATAAAACTGAAAATTAAAACTATCCTCCAAAGTTGGGTTTGTTAAGGTTTTTACGCTCTCGCTGAATTCGCAGTCTACCAGTCTATTTTGCACTTATTGGATTAACCCCCTTTTTTGTCCTTTTAGCTTTATTGTTAAGCATCATTTTGTTCGCACTTTCACCCTAATGCAAGTCAACATCAAAATTACAAAAATTTTAAAAGCAGCATAGCAGTAAATACGTTTAGAATTGCCAGTGCAGCGTTAAGTGTTGGCATATATTTTTCTGTCTTTTTATTTCTAGTCTTTTCTCAGCTCATCATACCAGTGTTCAGTTTTCTTACTAAGATTGGCTTTACAATTTTTTTTTTTTTGACTTTTTATTAGTAACGTTTTGTGCGTTTATTTTATTTATTAAATATTACGTTCTTGGCGCTTACGCCACATACAATCCGTTTCAATGGCAAAATCCCAAAATACTTAAAATCAACGTATCTTTAAAATTTCCGATACGTAGTCTCGCGCACTGGAGATAAAAATGTTCCGTAAAGTGTTGCCATTGCTCAATTTGAAATCGCTGAGTTTGTTAATCAAAAATTAATTAAAGTTTTACAAAATATGAAATATGTAATAAAATAAATTCGAATCAGTGCCCAGGTGCCCATGTTCGGGTGGAGGAATACGTTATTAAAAATTCGATAGTACCGTTGTTTTTTCACAATGCGAGAAACATGCAGATTCTTCATTATTTAATTTCTTTAAATATAATATAGGACGATAATATTTGATGGCAACAATTTGAAAAGTGATAGGCCGTTTATGCTAATTGCGTTTCGAAACTAATATCCAATTCGGGATTGACGTTCCTTCTGCGCTTGGAAAAAAAAAAATCTAAGAGGAATTTACTTAAGAAATATTTTTGATAATCAACTTCACTTCACGAGCAAAAACAATACATCTGGTTATAACAAAAATTTTCCGTGACAAAAAACGTTAAAAAAAGTTAATAAGGTTAGAAAAAAAAATGAAAGCAGTATTTTTAGTGTGGTTAGTAATCACCACCCAAATCTATGATTTTCTACCAACGTTTTGGTAGTTTTGCAAATCTTCGGCTCATAAACTTGGTGGTTGCGAGTCCAGAAATAGATCAACCTCATTTCGGACGTCCTGTGCAGGAGGCAAGATAGCACCAGCAAGATGTAGCTGCAAGTATGGAAAAAGGTACATGGAGGAAGAGATTATGGGGCTATATGGTGAGTGTGACAAAAGATCCCATTCGAGTCGGTACAGAGTCCAGCCGGTGAATGCAGACATATGTGGTCTTACATAATCTTGACGGAACATTACCTTTTTGCGCTGGAACTCAGTTCGAATTTTTTTCTTTGATAGCACCGTCAACACGGACTAGCATCTCGCTGTACAGCTCACTGTCGAGGGTTTTAAATTTTTCCAGGTATTTTTTGTGGATAATAGCAAGACAATTCCACCCAGATACACAGCCAGATGATATTTTTGTTAGTCAACTTGCGCTTTGCGACGCTGCCGACGGGCTCACCGGGCGCAGTTCAACCCCCTTTTCGGCCTGTGTTTTTGAAGTAAATCCACTTTTCATCACCGAATTGGCGACGAACTGCTGCACAATTTTGTCCTTATGTTGATATTCGAGCCGATTAGTGCAGGCTCGAACACGTCTGTCCTTATCTGCTTGAGTCAGCTCATGCGCCACCCAGCAATTGAAGCTGTATGTCAAGTTTATGCGATGCATAGCGCGACTAATAGACATGGCACTAACGTCTTATCAAGCTCTCGAGTACTAATCTAATCTTCTTCCACAAGTTCTCACAAGCAGCGGGCCTCCTGAACATCAGCAGGCCAGCCAGGGCATTCTGCTTCTTGAATGTGAGAGTCCTTGTTTTTTGAACTTTCGGTACCAATCCTTCACAGTGTCATATGATACAACATTAGTACCTAGAGCTGTATACATGATTTGGTGACATTCTGTAGCCGACTTTTTGGAACAGACGTGGAAGTAAATGATGCTTCTAATCTGGTAATGTGATAGTTCCATTTCAGATACCTTGTGTCGCAATGGTAACGATATATTTTTTACAAATTTCACAACACAATGTTCTAAAGCAAGTCTCTCTCTTTCGAACGCTAAAAATCGTTTCACAAAACATGATTAAACACGCTACTGCGAACTGTTTGCGCAGACGAAATTTCCGGTGGATGGAAACTTATCTTAAAACTGGTTATTTATTCAAATTAGTATCTAAGAAAGTTTAATTAATGCTGAATAATTAGTAAGGAAAGTTTAATTACTGCAGAATTATTTAGTAATTAAAAGTGAGTTTTCTACAATGCATTTCTCTTTTACGTATTTTTATATTGAGAAAATGCTTGTTTTAGAATTGACAAAATCGGATGTAAACAAAAATAAAAAGTTACGTCTGTCAAAAGAAAATTAACACAATTAATGCACTGTTGTTACTAGAACTTTTTACTCTATGTTAAAATATTAAAATTTTATTAAATCTTAAAACATCATAGATTTATTTAATTTCTGTACTATAAGAGAACCAAATGCATCAGTTTTTACTGTCACAAGAAGGAATTTTTATTTATTTATTTATTTGCTAATTTGTTAAAATAATATGTTTATTGATCTAACTAAGAACAAAGGAAATTTTTCAGATCAAGTTTTTTTTTTCTTTTTTCTTTTTTTCCTTTTTTTAATTCCTTTTTTAGTTTGCGTCTAAAAGTAAAATCTTTATTTTTCCAATTCAGCTTTTAAAATCCAAAAACACGCATTTATGACACAATAAAAAGAAATTTTTTTAACTGTTAGTGAGACATTTTTCCAAAGATGAATTGGAATACTAAAAAGCTTTTATTAAAGCAACATTTTAATTACCATACGCTATTTTTCTGTTGTATACTTCTACAATATAATTTCTCTTTCGTAACACAATTAAGCTTGATAAAATAAGCGTAAAATAAGTTGCAAATTTGTTGTGTCATTTCAGGGTCAAATAACTGCTGCTTTTTCTTTTGTGTGAATCAAAATGTTCAGATTTCTTAGAAACCTAGAGGAGTTCATAATCCGGTCTCTTTATTATTTTAGTTAAAGTAGCTTAGTTTGTTTTTCGAAGTAAAATTTTTATTTTTGTAGCTTTCGCTTTCGGAATTTAAAAACGTGAATTTAGGATGCAAGTTTTAGTTTTTTCGAACTTTTAGATATACACCTTATTGATTATAATTTTTCAAATAAAAAAAGCTTCGGGAAAATAAATATTTTCGTTACCATATGCTAATTTTCTGCTCTTCATTTCCGCAATATTATTCTTTTTCGAAAAACAACTTTAAACTTCTGCAAATAATTTACCTGTTATACCCTTTCGGGGTCAGCAAATTCTGTCTCTTTTTTTCTGCTAGTCAAAATCTCTAAATTTCTTAGAAAATAAGCTCTGTAAAATATAATCACTTCCTTATGCAATTAAACTTCTAAAATTTCAGCTTGCGGTTTTTCGCTGAAGAAACCACGTAATGTAACCATTTTGAATTTAAATCCTCTAACCTCTCCAAGTTTTACTAAGACCCTATTGCACATGGTATTTTGTAGCAACTCTGTTTCCATACAAAAAAATACAAAAGGCGTTCCATTTTGGAGTCGACGTTGAGTCGCGAACAATTTCGGTCGCCAGAGGTCAGTTCCGGTTTTCTAAGGTCAGAACTCGGCTTTAGGGTATGTAAAAGTTCTCCAGGAGGAAAACTGTGAAAGAAATAACAATAATAAAAAATTCTAGAAGTATTTCTAGAGTTTCTTCAGAGCCATCTCGAACTTGTAAAGACATGATCTTGAAATTATATGCTTGATTTTCTCGCTGCTGCCATTTCCAACAAGAAAGTTTTGAAGCTAAAGTAAGTAATTTCTTCTATATTTCTTTACTCACACAATAAATCGAGTGATTAATTTGCTTATATAAAGTGCTTATATACCGAGCACATTATATATAAAGTGCTCGGTTTTATGTTTTATTAAGCGATTTTTCTAGAAGCAAAATATATTACTTGAACTGCAATTTATTATTATATATTCTTGATCATAGCAGATGATTAAACGCTGTATTTTCCTGAGAAAATTATTTTAAAATCCTTTAGCTATTATGAAAATAATTTTATAATTTATAATTAATCAAAACGAGTATCTTATCACTAGTCTTTTAAAAATGGTTCAGTTTTTATTAAGTTAAAAATCCATCAATTAAAAATATCATATAACTAATTATTTATTCTGCTATTATTAAAACGTAAGAACAATTTCTATAAAAAAAATTGCTAATATAACAAAATAAGTCATTGTAGAAATGTAAAAAAAGAAATAAAAAAAGTGTTATTATTTTATTATTCTCTTAATAAACAGAAAGTTACATTTGTTCACTTTCCATATTGTGCATAGAATTATTTTTTTTAACGCTAAAACATTAGACATCAATTTTCTACTTAACAAAAAATGAAATGATTATTATTTTTATTATTATTTTGACTTATGATACTTTTGCTTTCCTAACATATTACTAAACGGCAAGGTATAATTTTTTTTTAAAGTATACTGAAGTATTTAGATGTTTACTAACTAATGAAGTTAATTAAATTGATTTTAATAGAAAGCAACTGACTAGTTAATTTTCTAATAACCCCACTTCCAAATTTTGCTTTCTTTTAGAGGCTTCCCCCCTTTAGCCATCGCTCAGTGCATTATATATTGACTATATAAACTAAAATTTATTTTTTATATTTCTCAATATGTTACATGTTTGAATTTTCAAACTCTTAACAACGCTGTTCACCTATTATTTAACGCTAATAACAAAAATAAGTACAGGCGTTTATTTTATATGCATAATTAAATGTAATAAAGGTTTACCTTTTAAAAGCAATGTACAATGCTATAGCTGCAAACATTTTAAAGCGCTAAATGCAAAATGACTGAAGTCAATATTGTAAAACAAACAAGGGGAAAAATAATAATTAATTACTTATTCGATTTAAATGAATCGTTTACATCCAATGGTTTGAATTTCTTAAATAAAAAATCAAAAAATTTTTAATAATTCTATAAATTTTACCTAGATTTTTACTTTTATAACTAAATCCGTTTTAAATCATTCAATAAAGGAAATTAGTTCAAAAATATTCTAAAATTAATTTCGTTCACCTGAAAAATAGGTTTCCATATAAATTAAAGCAATTAACATAAAATAAGTAAAATTTATTCAATAGTTAGTTCATTGTTACCAAAAAGCTCAAAAAATAAATCATACGATATAGTTTCTATGAATGTTCATTATGTTAACAAAATATGACATAATATTACTGAGCAATACTACTGCATAATCCAAATTACTTAATTTGTTAAAATGGCTTATGAATAAAATTGCGTGAGATTTAAATTAAAAAATGAAAAAATTTTTTTTGAAAATTATTGCTTGATATAACTGAAAAGAGCGCTTAGTACCAGTTTTTTTTTATTTGTACAGAAACTTTTAATACCTGATTGTTTTTAGTTGTATAAATGCCGAAAGATGGCGGTACCTGTTATTTATTTCTTTAGCTGATCATCCTCAAATGCCGATAGATGGCAAGACCTGTTTCAAAAATTACAAAGATTCTGAAAATCTTTTTCACAATGTAAATTAAATAAAAACAGCGCTAGTTTATTTGAATGCCTGGTAAATATTCATCTTTAATCTCAGGACCTGGATCTTTTCCGTGGCTTTTTTTTACTGGCTAGAAAAAAAAAAAAAAAAAAAAAAATCTGAAATTTTTTCATGGAATAGTAACAGAAAATTAAATAGATACGAAACATTTTTGCAACGCATGTATTTCAAGAATATCAAACAAGGCCTTCAAGTGTAGCTTCACCCGTCTTAAGATCTACATCAGATTTTCTTGAAATGAATTGAACTCTCTTTTGAAAAGAGAGCTAATCTAAGACTGAATTTTGGTTAGAGTTCATGTTGAACGTGCCTTGTATTTTGTTATGCCGAATAAATTTTCATTTATGTATGTATTTTTACAGAATTTGGGCAGGAAGAATTTGGTTCGAAATTATTAATTAGTACACCAAACGACTATAATTATAATTATTTTTACTATGACGTAAACAAGTGAAATTTGATACGAGACATGTAGGCAGTTAAAATTTGAGTCTCATTATTAGTATTATTATGTAAGTTTGAAAGAAGAAATTCAAATAAAAGAAAACCAAACTCTTGAATAAAAATGAATCGAAAATTCTCAAATCAGAGAAATGACTATTCATAAAGTGAATGTCTATAGAAAAAAAAAAATTGATCTTGATTCTTCAGATCAGAATTTAGGGCCAGAATTTTTTTTTTTTTTTTTATTCTACATCACCATCATCAAAATAGTATAAAAGATCTTCATATACTGTTATGAAGATATTTGTTGTAGTTCTTGTCTGACAGTACCATCAGACCAAGCCCACGAAATTCATTGTGTCAAGAAGTTATTTTTTGGTTTTATTTATTAAAAATCTCTTCCAAATGTTTATAAATAAAACGCTTAGTTCTTCCATTTGCCTACAGCTTCCCGTATTCGTTTCTTGCGTTAAGCCGTTTTAATTCGCCTTTTTCTTTTTCATATACGGGTAAATTTATTTTTCGTGTTTATTATTCCATTTTTTTTTACGTCTATGGCACATATGAATTAGATTTTTAAAGACATGTTAGCAATTATCTTTTTAAAACGCCTCTTAAGAAACCTCTATAAGATAGATTATTCATTGTTTACAGTTCTCAGATCATCTTGGCAGAGTGGAAAAGTACTGCCACTCGACATTCGTTACGAGCCTTGTGCGCAACAATCTAGCAAAATAATTGCCAAGCTATATGTCTTGAATAATTCAATCTTTTCTATACTGAAGAAGTGTACACATCTCTATGTTGGCGCTAATTAAAAAAAAAAAAAAATCTGAAATGTTTCAGATTTTAAATTACGTCCAAAGGGGCGTTTTTTAACATTTTGTGTGTTACCTTTCTTTATTAAATATCATGTTTCCTCGCACTTAAACCATAAGATCCAGTGCAAAACAGCAATATCGCAAAATAGTTTTTAAAACGAGCATATCTTTAGAATTTCCGATACAGAGACTCACGCGCTGGAGATAAAATGTTTTTTTTTCTGCACAACGTTGCCATTGCTCGCTTTGAAATCCTTGAGTTTGTTAATCAAAAATTCGTCAAAGTTTTAAAAAATAGGAAATCGATCATAAAACAAATTTCAAATTTCAAATTTGGTCTTCCACATGCTCATATTCGTTGGAGGATTACGTTATTCAAAATTCGATGACTCTTATGTACCGTTGTTTTATCACAATACGAGAAATATACATATACATTTACGCAGATTTTTCATTATTTAATTTCTTCAAATATAATGCAGGACTCTAAATTTTTTGGCAACAGTTTGAAAAGTGAACCGACATTTATGAGTCGCCGAAAATGCCAAAACGAAACTAATAGTCCTTCGGGATTCAAATCCCTTTGGACTAAAAAAAAAAAAAAAAAAAAAAAAATTATATCGTAATATATTTTTCCTTCGACTATTTGACTTTCCCATTATGAACAGCTTACTGTAGATATATGATACATTACAAATAAATATTAATTTCCGAGAGACTAAGGCTTGTTGTAACAGCATCGTCTAAATTACCTTAGCTGTTAAACTGAAATCTGCATTCTAAGATCAGATTGAAATTTCTTTTTGATTTTTATATATTTTTAATTTACTTTTTTGAAATTTGAATGATCAATTTTTCAGGATGTTAGACTGTAATCTGAAATTTTCAAATTTCATATTTTTTATTAGCATATAAACACAGCAAATGCTATAGGATTATTTAGCAAAAGATATATAAACAATGTTTGTCAGCTAAAATATTTGGCAGACATTTAAATGGTTTCTATAGGTAAATAAAAATAGGAAAATATTCCTATTATGTTAAAGCGTTAAAATAACAACACTAACAACGTATTATACATTATTAAATTTCTTACAGTTTATTATTAAATTAGGATTTTGATAAAAAAGTCGTTGTCAATAAGTTCATATTTATTTTATTTTTACGAGCTATTGTGTTGCTGCTTCTCTACCAAGGCTGCTAGTGGTTCATGTTATTATTTTTCTTACCAGCGAAGTCCCAATCTATTTACAAATACGCCGAGCAAATATCTGTGCAAAGGGTAAACACAAAATAATAGGCTATTAAAGTAACAGATGTGTATATTATAATCTACTGAAAATCACACCGAAATCATCGGATAACTTGTAATGATTTTTCTTTTACCTACTATCCGGCAACGTTTCCTAATCGTCGATTTTTATGCGAAGTTTCTAAATCAGTCCTTGATACCTTTGAAGAATAATCGGAAGTCGCTAAATAAAAAAATAGATATTTAATAAGCATTGGTGTTGCGCGAACCCAGTACGCATGCTATGGTTAGCTAAATCCTTGGGCATAGAAGGGTATTTTCCCCAAATGTTAACTAATTGGGTTGATTTTCTCTAACACTCTTTGCATTATTTCTTTAAAGACGCTCTTTAAATTTCACTATTTTCCCTCGGCACTATCTAACTTAAAACTGATTCTGTTTTTGTTTCTGAAAATTATTAAATGGTAACTTTTGACAAATTAATTTTGTTTATACACTGATTTAAAATGATCGTTTGGGAGAATGCAATTACGAAAAATCATCCCAGTTGAAATATTAATAGCTAAATAAAAACATTTTTCAAGCACTCAATAATTTCCAATTAAAGATTTTTTTAAAACTTTCTACTCTTAATTGTTGAATTGAAACTAGAGAAAATGATATATAATTCAGAAAAAAATTATC